GGTTGGAAGTAATGATGTAAAGGTTGAATATGAGTGCAGGAAGCGTTAATTGTAGACATAACATATTAAAAAGGTTAGAATAGAGAATGACGAAGAGTAACTCAAGAGGAACGTTCCTGTCCTGCAGTTTTGCATACATTCCTATTCACAACCATGTCAATACGACAGTACTGTTGAAGTTCGCAGAGAATTCACACGAATACTAAAGTATGCACCGACCAGCCTTCCATCGCTTGTTTCACGCACCACGTAGCTCGGCGGAATCGGACTCTCAATCTGCGCCAGTGGCTCGTAACCCCTAAAGCCAAATGCTCGTAGTCGCTGCACAAATAAATTCCAGCTTTTCTTGCCGCTCATCAAAGTTCTTTTTGAGAGATCGAGTACTTTAGCATAGCGATGGCACAGACTCGCAATAAGACGTCTTTTTGATTTCGAAAACTAATTTCGTTCTAATTCCCAGGAAAACAATGGGAGTGGAGAAAAAGTGTGATAGTAGCATTGCGAAGAAGGGATTCAAAAAAGAAGGGATATTTGGGATATATACTGAATTGACCACAGCAACCACGAAAGATAGCCGTCTCGCCACGATTTACTCACAGTTGACTGGAACAAAGTAAGTACTGTGTGAGTGCCCATCAAAAATTACTGGAGCATTCTGTTTCAGTGTATTTGTGCTTTATCAAATTTGCCGCATAAATCATTTTCCCAAAAAACTTGAGACACGAAATATTTTATCCTGCTGTTTTAAAAGCACATATTTCTTGCAGTATTGGTATATTGGTTTAAAATGCCGAGTGCATTTAGCAAGTAGCGATTGCGAACCTCACGCTGACTCTTCGCCATCTTTCCTTCTCCTTCCATACTCTTTCTCTGCCACGTCTCGGCGACGCGGGCATTCTTGGGGACTAAAATGTGCAAATTATGGCCGTCAACAAAATGCGCCAGCTTTTATAATGTGAATTTGAGCAATGAATTGCCATTTTACATAATATTTCGCATCGGGAGGAGTACGTTTTCTAGCGCGCTGCGCTGCAACAAATACCCAGTGTTGCTGAAGCTAACTGATTGGCCGGTTTCTCCGCTCTGGTACTCCTGATTATTTGATCAGTGAAATACTGCCCTCCATTCTGCTCCTCCGATTTTAAATAATCAGTGATTTCGACTTGCAAAATTAGACGACCGGAGGTGTGGAGGTATGCTTTTATCTTCGTTAGGTTTC